TAAAAAAACAGAATCATGATAAAAATATTTGATTTCAGCAAAATTAAGACTGAAATCTCTAAACTATAGGCTTGAACAGTTCATGCCAGAAATACTAAGTATCTATAACTTCAGTGCTTTATCATCAGATACATATTCTTAAATAATTAGAACAGGTTCCCCAAAATACATCATTTTATACCACAGATTTCAATGATGACATGCATCACAAACTTAGTATAATGGGAATGAAGAGTACTATTTTATGCATAAATTTAAGAAAATACTTAAAAAGGGAGTAAGATCCTTTATGTGGATTAAGCTATAGAACCTAGTTGTGATTATTCATAGTTATATTTGTAGAGTTATTTTAGAAAAAGGAATAGGACTTGATTTAAATTCATCCAAAAAATTTTAAGGGCAAACTTTATGCTACGTTTCTAATCGAGCATATAAATTTCAAATCTTTCCTTATTTATTTACAACTTAAGAAACTGATCACTAGATACTAAAGTCAGAAAACTTAAATGGTCAAGCCAGCCACTTGATCCATAAGTCTACCCACAAAGAATCTATTTTAAATGATGAATATTTTCAGGCCAGCAGAATGTTTTAAAGACTTTTTTCGAAAAAGTTAATTTGTACTTTACTACATTGGTATAACTAAGGAACTGGCATATTCAGTAATTTAGCAAATGATGTCTCTGACCAGAAAAAAAAAATGCATACATGGGGAGCACATCTAGAGTTAAGTAAAGCATTTGTTAAAATTTCTTATATTGATAAAGAATATATGAAAAATGGAGTTGAAACATTATACGATTAGATGCATTTGTCAGTAATTGAATTATCAAAGAATTATCAACAATTGACAATGGATACATTGCGGGACATTTATAGATCCTCAAGATGGAATCAATCCTTATCTTTCTCCAAGTCAATTTCTTTCCTAAAGGTATACACAAATTGGAAATATCTAATTGTGAAGCAAGTATGGCTAATTAATCAGAGACCATATTATAAATCCCCAAAAAGACTGAAATGTAGTAAGTTTAAATTCGCTAAACACAGAAAGTCCTACATGTGGGACTTTCTCTACAGAAAGTGTTTTTTCTACAGAAACACAGAGACTTAACACCATCACACATTTTTTTTTAAAGAGCTTAAGTAATTCTATTTAACTATAAATATCCATAATGAATCCTGTGAAGGAGCAACTAAGCAGTCCAGACCACCCACATTACCAGAGATACATACATACATAGCAATGCAGGTCTTCTTTAGGTTGGAAAGACCTGATCTCTAGCACAGATGCTGAAGCCAATGCATCCTCTCATCCAAGGTAGAGTCACGAATAAACTGCAAACCTATCCAAAGAAGTTCTTGAAGCTATGTCTGATGAAAAAATGGTTAAAAATCTTTACAGATTTCACAGACCTAGGTTTCGCTGATCAGAGACTGAAAACAAAACACATCAACCATCTACAGAAACACCCTAATGGCTATCACAGAGATTCGCTTAGGGAACCAACATCCAAGGTATGGACACTGTAAACAAACAAAGAAACAAACAAACAACAACAACAAAAAAAACTGTATCTGACAGCACCATGGAAAGCACAAGCCTCTAAACAGCTTCTTCGCACTCAACGATGAGAGAAGTTTCACCTTGTGCATCTTCATATCCTTAGTGTTGACAAAAGGTTTGTCAAGTAGGCTTTCAAAATTAAAGATATTGATTTAACTAAGTGGAAAAATTAGTACAGAACTAAAAGGAAAAAGAGAGAGAGAGAGAGAGAGAGAGACTGTCCAGAGGTAGTGGTTTCTTTACATAGGGCCTATTTATGAGGACTGTATCCCAAAGTTTCATTTAGAAAATATTAGCCTCGGGGATCCCTGGGTGGCGCAGCGGTTTGGCGCCTGCCTTTGGCCCAGGGCGCGATCCTGGAGACCCAGGATCGAATCCCACATCAGGCTCCCAGTGCATGGAGCCTGCTTCTCCCTCTGCCTATGTCTCTGCCTCTCTCTCTCTCTCTCTCTCTCTCTCTCTCTATCATAAATAAATAAAAATTAAAAAAAAATTAAAAAAAAAAGAAAATATTAGCCTCATGAGTTGCCTATGTTTGAAAGGTTATAGTAGAAAATTGAAAATGATATCCCCCTTGTCCCCAACTTGAAGATATGAAATTTTCACCAGGATATTAAGAATTTGTGTGAAGCCCTTCATGGAAGATACTTGTTTATTCACTGATGCTCCCCAATTTTTTAACCACAGGCCCTTTTTGATGGCATACCTGAGGAAAACCCCAGAGTACTCTGGTAAAGGCTCTTTAAGGTGGAATTATGCACTGGACATGTGTTTGGCTAGTACTAGTAAACTGGCACCTGTGTCTCCAAGGACAAAAGTAAACCCCGTATTTTAAACATTTTCACATGTTTGAGACATCCTCACTATTGTATTTTTAAGAAAAGAAAAGCAACACCCAAATAAGCTCTCTTTGCTTCTTAAAATGAGAGAAATATTTTGAACGCTTTGCAGTGTCCTCTTCTTTGCGCTCGTGACAGCAAAGTAGAGCTTAACAGATCCAAATTTGCTCAAAATAATGGTCAGATGCACAGTACTGAATTCAAAGGCTCTTCTTTTTCAACAAGGCCACTTTTCCCATCAGGGAGCCTTCACAAGTACAGAGTTACATAGATATGCAACTCCATGTCATGAATGTGTACAGTATGCCAGGTGTGGAAAATTGAACAGTTCTGTGGTGAATATGAGCTCCACAAGAGTTACCAGGTTTAGGAAATAAAAATAAGATGCCCAGTTATATTGAATCTCAGGAATGATAACAAAGATTTTTAGTGCAAGTATGCTTCATGTAATATTTCAGATATACTAAAAATTGTTTGTCTGAAATCAAATCTCATTAGGCATGCTATATTTCATCTAGACCATACTCTCCCACTGGAGTATCAACTACAGTGCATACAGACCCTTTGTGTTTAGCCTAAATCACAGGAGAAAAAGTCCTGGGGAGTGTATGTGCTCTACCATTTCTTAGCTTTTGAGATATTTCTCAATGAACTATATTTTATCTGCATAGTGAAGCATTAGTTGTGCATCCATGACTCCTTTGAATGGCACAAGAGAAAAAACTGATTTTTCCCACCACAATAATCTGGAGTACAACCAAAGACAATCTATTAAAGACGGAATATTCTTTAAAAACAAAGGAGCTTTTATTTATTTATCTGACAGAATGAGACAGAGGGAGAGGGAGAGAGAATGCACACAGCAGTTGGGAGGGGCAGAAGGAGAAGGAGAAGCAGGCTTCCCACTCAGCAGGGAGCCAGATGCTCAATTCCAGGCCTCTGGGATCATGACCTGAGGCAAAGACACTTAACCAACTGACCCACCCAGGTGCCCCAAAGATAGGATATTCTTGAACAAAGATACAGACCAGAGTTCTTAATCTTACTCTGCCAGTTACGTGTTGCTCTTGGGCCATTTGTGTATCTCTTTGGGCCTTGGCTGCCCTGACTTCAAAAGCCCTTTCAAAGCTAATATATTATACTTCCATGATCCTAAGTAAATTCAGCTTTGCCTCATTCTTGATAACTAACCAAAGGTCATAGTTACATATTATGGAAACAGCGAAAATCACCTCAAAGAAAACCAGGAACTGTCTAAAAGATCGTCCTTATACTTAATTAAAATCCATTTGTTTCAAAAGAAATGTTACCTTCAGGCTAAAAGGGTAACTTAAATATTACACCAATAATAACTGTTATTCATCAATCATGTAACTTTAAATGCCTGTTGTTCCTTGGTCAGTTACTAATTCCAGATCATTAAAAGCCCTGTTGACCACTTCACTTTCTTGACTCCTGTAGGGTACCTCTAAAAACACTATAAAGCATTCTGTAATTTCAGTGAAAGGTATCTATGCACAAAGAGCAGATCCATCTTCCCTAACAGTCCCCAAATAGTTTGATTTAAATAGCATTTCTTTGCACTAAGTATCTATAATGCTAATTCATTTTGCCTTCAGCTTAACTTTCTGCTATTAATAAAGTGACAATAAGAATTTTTCTCTAGTTAAATACCAGGCTCTCTTATAATATGAATGCTAAGTATTGCTTTTAAGTAATTAAAAACCTGATCAACATCTTTAGCACAACATAAAAGAAATAAGCCATTTCAAATTAGACAAATGGATGAGTTCTGAAGTCAGTTAAATACAAAAGTCTAGTTCAATCTGAATTTCAAATTTCAAATTCCAAATTTAGGACATACTTAATATAATTTATTGTTTAACTGAAATTCAAATTTAGCCAGGCACTCTAAATTTTTTTTAAAGATTTTATTTAGGGGATCCCTGGGTGGCGCAGCGGTTTGGCGCCTGTCTTTGGCCCAGGGCGCAATCCTGGAGACCCGGGATCGAATCCCACATCGGGCTCCCAGTGCATGGAGCCTGCTTCTCCCTCTGCCTATGTCTCTGCCTCTCTCTCTCTCTCTCTCTTTGTGACTATCATAAATAAATAAATAAATTAAAAAAAAACATATATCCTAAAGATTTTATTTATTTATTCATGAGAGACACAGAGAGAGAGAGAGAGAGAGAAAGGCAGAGACACAGGCAGAGGGAGAAGCAGGCTCCATGCAGGGAACCTGACGTGGGACTCGATCCCGGGTCTCCAGGATCACACCCTGGGCTGCAGGCGGCACTAAACCGCTCTGCCACCGGGGCTGTCTGCACTCTAAATTTTTATTTGATAAATCTGGCAACCCCATGTGGCCTACTAGTATGAGATATTCACCAATTTCATCTTTTTTTTTTCCCTTCATCAAAACACTTGTTTTTGATTTTTATTTCTTCCCTAGAGTCAAGAGAGGTTCCACCTATGACAGAACATGGATAAGTAATTTTCCAGCCAAAATTTCTCTAATCATTAATGTATCTTTGCTTTTAACAGGTCAGGTTACCATTAAAACTGTCGTCCACAAAACACAAAATTTTCCTTACCTGTGGGTAATATATAAGAAGACCACATAATAAAATATTTCTTTTTTTTACTTCCTTTGCATATTCCTTAATTTGCATTAGGTTTTCCATTTTCTGATCAAAAGGTACTGATTTATAATCAAGAAAATATACCTGCAAAATAATACAAAAGGTAACATGTGAATACCATTTATTTCAGTTTCTTTGAAAAATGTAACATTAAAGGAGTTCAAAACACAATTATTGTAACTTTTATCGGTTTGTGTTAATTTCTAGATATACATTTCAACCATAAATGCTTAGTAAGATTGATAAATCCTCCTTTACAAATACAAAGCAGCAGTCATTGAGAAAACAATGCTGAACAATATAAAATGCTAATATTCTATTTCCACTTGTTTCAGAGTCAAATGTACAAATATAGGATTTCAACTACTTGTTCAATTTATACTTTGAAACTAGATTACATAGAAATATTATATGTTAAGCAATTACCAATATCAATAAAATTCAAGGGAGTGCTTATCAGATTCATAGATATTTTTAGAAGAATCACTTTCAAATGACTGAAATTCTAATAAATCATCCATTTCTTAGAGTAAATCCAGAATTTTATATATATTTTTAGCAGTGTTAGTGTTTTTCTTGAAATTATTCCAATGGCTATTTTTAAAATATTAGTTTTCATTTAAATTTTAAGGAACTCAGGGTGAGCTCCCTCCTTCAAATTATTGAAGTTTTGTGGTGTTGTTCATCTTTTGTGGGACATAAAATATCTAAATCACCATAATGTCAAAATAAAATGCAAATGTGCACAGAGAATAAACATTCAGATATTTGTATTCTTTCACAATATCAAATTTAAGAAACTCTCAAGAATTATAATTTGTTCAGTTACATGTATTTATTATATAGAAGCATTTTAAAATCTACTCCACCCTAAAACTCTTATACTAATCCTTTCCCTTCCTCTGGTAATTCATATAAAAATATGCTTTATAGAATATATACAACAAAATCCAAATCCTATGATGTTCTTTCTATAACACAAGGGAATGAGTTTTCACCTATCACATTGCATTTTGCTTTCCAGGAAAAGCACTTAAATAACATCCATTTTAAAACAGAATTATGTGAGGACATGTATGTGTGTTAATTCAGTAGATATTCAGTCACAATTTCCTGGACCTTTTCATTATAGTTAATTGAAGACATATATATGTAGTTGCTTCCTCCTAAAATCTAAAGGGACACTACAGACTTTTTTCCTTAAAAATGCTCCATCCATTAAAAAACGAAGAGAATAGACAGAAAAGAAAAAAACAGAAAAGAAAAACAAAGATAAAAAGCACAAAGAAAAGGGTCTCAGGCTCTACTATCTACTGAAAATTGAAGTAAAGACAATGTGACCCTATGAACTTGAATTCACCCTTCCCTAGCAGTGATTCCCTGAAAACTTAAAAAGATGAAATTTCAGATTTTTTACCAACCAACAATGCTTACAGCAAATATAATTTGAGACTGGTGAACCATAGCCAGGCTGGAATAATTGTGAGTGAACTATAAATGGTAGACTTTCCTTCAATGTAATTTAACTTGTAACCAGGTGTTTCCCTAGCTGAGACCTGGAAGCTAACATCTGTCAGCTAACTCCTTCTATGTAGCTTGAGCCTTCTAGAAGGATGGCTCATACACCACCTTCTGTGAGTTCCTCCCCTTACCCTTAAGAAGGTGGACGAAAAATGGAGGGGGGAAAAAAGCAACCCCTACTAGTATGAAATTATGAGCTCAAGAAGCTAAGCTGAAGAAACATGCCCATCTCTCCCTTTTCTCCTGTCTTGTAGTCTTTTATGATGTTGCACAAACTAGTGACACAGGCTTCTTCTAGTCTTAAGAGTTTAAAAATATCTATCTGAAACTAAAATTGCTGGCTGGGGGCTTGCCAGAAAAAAAGGCTAATTCTCCAAACTCTAGGCAATTTATGAAATTGCAATCATGTTATTAATCTAAAGCTCAGGGACTGAGACTAAGACTCTCTCCTGGGCCCATACCGCCAGATCATTACATAGCCCCATACCATCTGGACTAAGGAACAACACTGCTGTTCGGAGTTATAAGCCTCATGGTACTATTTAACTCTTTTACCTGTGTAATTATTTGCAATATTTAGATACCATAAAATGCCAGGAGTCACCATGCCCAACATAATTTATGTGAATGAGAGGTCTTGGAGTTTTGCAACACATAATCCAGGCTAGCCTAGATAGTTAATGAGGGAAAATAGACATTTCTTGTTTAATACAAGTCCTCCTAACAAATCTTCAGTTCTGAAAAATCTCAAAGTAAAATAAAGGGGGGGGTGCAGAAAGGGTTTGTGAAAAAAATAGCACAAGGAGCAGTAAAGACAAGACCACTCTACTTTGTAATTACAGCCTCCAAAGAGATTTAAAATGCACAGAAATTAAAGAACAGAAATGCTGGTAACATACTAAATGGAGAAGGAATAATGGATACAACCAGGAATGGAGCTCTACAGTGCAAAGCTGCCATTGAACTTGGCCCAGGAGGAAGTGCACCTGCCTAGGGAACCTCTCTGCAAAGTCAGAGCTGGGAACAGGTGCTCAACTTTCGATTTTCTTAAAAAAGTGTCCTAAAAGTGATCTTAAAGTTAATAACAACTTTGGGAACTTAGAAGTGGTAGAACTAAAACTCTTGACAAGAATAAACTATATTGGAATGAAAAAACTTTTAGAAATGTACTAAAATATAAGAATGTGCTCAACATTGTACTAAATGACATCAGCTTTTAAAGAAACAGATATGGATATTGACCTTATGAAATGTATACCAGGTTGACAAAATTCAAGCTTGAAGAAGTAGGATGCAAATCAAAATCTCTTTCACTAAATGGGAAGGCCTGATAACATCATGATTAACAGAAGAAAAATCTCCAGCAGACGTATTTCCTAAGGCCAACACTATGAAACTTAGGCATATACTTTACATTGTGCTACTAATTTTGAACTTCTAAAATACATGTTACTTATGAGTTCCAGGAAAAAACTCAGTTGGTATAATAATGCAATCAATTTTAATTTTAAAGACAAGGTTTATACAACTACAACAGAGGATTACAAAATGATTATGATAGCTCAAGAGAAATGTAAATGTTTTCACCTTAATAAAACAAACTTACAGCATAGTCAGTCCTGCATCCATTGAAATGTAGCAAAACATTTCATCTAGGTTGAGTTCTGCACATTTGCTTATAGCTACATCAAGTAGATATTCCTTGATGTCTTTTTGAACTGCTCACTCATTTGCTATGTGTAAATTACAGCAACAATTATTTCCTCCTAAGGATGACATTTCTAATAGGTTTTATTTCATACAGATATTTAAGAAGTTAAAATATCTCCCCCTCCAAAATAATGTGTTGTTTTTGTTTTTTTTTTTTTTAACACAGCAAATTCACTCCTATAAACTAGCAAACTGCTTAAACATTTAACATATGGGTAGCTTCATGGCTTTGTGGGTGGGCAAGGTTTCTGGCACTCATAGTTTGGAAAATGCTCCTCTGTGCCTCATGTCTTCTACATTCAGTTCTACACATGCTTTATATTTGTCTAGTAACTATTTAATATATCCCTGGCCCCAGATGAATTGCCATTGTTTTATACTTTAATATGTAATTTTTCATCTGTCTCTGAGGACAGGTACATTAATTAAAGAATAATTAATATAAAATACAATATTCTTTAAAACCTCAGTAATGTTCCATAACCCCACATTTAACACTTCTGCCTCATTCCAGAGGCCCATGTTAACAGGCCTAGAGAAGGGAGTCAGGAATTGTGGTAGAAGAGGAAATAGAGTCTTTGTTTATTTGAATAAGTCAATTTTTAATAAGAAGTCAATCTTTGAAGCATCAGTATATACACAAATACACACTGCTTAATGCCCACCAAAGTGGAAGGAAGGATGGTCAAAATAAAAGTTATGGTAATTAAGTTAGGAAACATTGGTAGATAGACCAGAGACTCTCTGAATCTATACAACAAATATGGCAAAACTATCTACACAAAATTATTTGTGTACAGAAAAGTAAATTGTGTGAATCAGGCCCATCATCTCACAACATTGCTTTTCAAAAGAAATACAGGGAGATCTAACAATAGATGAAACTAAAGTCAACACTAAGCAGATCAAAGTAAGACTTTATTTTAAGGATTAAAAAAATAACTTTAGAGAAAACTGATGAACCGTACTTTTAATTTTTAACTGCACTTTTAAAAAGAAAAAGGAACAAGCTTCTAATGTTGAATTGTTTCATTTTGGAACAAGTTTAAATCAATGTCATCAAGCAATTCAATACATAATTCTGATGAATAGAAGCTAATTAAAAGTTGTAAGCTATCATACAAATTCAGAGCAAATGTTTAACAACTCATCTATAAATCTTAAAATAGGGCAGCCAGGGTGGCTAGCGGTTTAGCGCAGCCTTCAGCCCAGGGCCTGATCCTGGAGACTCGGGATCGAGTCCCACGTCAGGCTCCTGCATGGAGCCTGCTTCTCCCTCTGCCTGTGTCTCTGCCGCCCCCCCGCCCCGTGTCTCTCATGAATAAATAAATAAATAAATAAAATCTTAAAAAAAAATCTTAAAATACCAGCAAAACTATTAGGTTGAGAAATGAGGCATTTAACCCAAGTAGTAAATAAATAGTATTTTGCATTAAAATATTAGCCATACAAAGTTTTAAATGTTTCTATTGATTCAAATAACTAAGAAGTAATTAAGTTTTATAGTATCAAGACAAATGTTATACTTATATACCCATTTTGTTTCGGATCCTTATGTGCAATATCAAAGAAGTAACAAGAACTTCACATTTTTAAACAGTAGGAAAACCTAATATAGCATGAAAACATGTCTAATTTTTTTTTTCAGATTTCACAAGGTATTTCTAATATGAGGACAGAACTCTGCCACTGTTATATTACGGGACAATTACCTGAAGCATTATATACATCTGCAATTAAAATCTGTACCATCCACAACAAATTTTAGAATCAAAAGATAACAGCAAGCCCAATGATTAATATGAAGCACTGATCTGTTGAACTAATATTTAAAATATATCATTCAAGTAAGT